GTGAGCTACAGGTCAAGTTAAGCACACTGGTTAAGTTACACATGTATTACTTCGTTGTTTATTTAATATTGTGATTCATACATTTGTTCATTAAATTCCACAAAATACCTGTACTACAAGTACTGGCACCAAGGTGAAAAAGGTGTGGTTACTGTGATGAACAATTTGTTATTGCAAGTCACCGTTTTCTGCAAGAAAAAATGTTAATTCAGAACTGGGTTATCTGAGTTTTGGTTTATGAGCTGTGAACAACAGGAAACCATTGAAAACACAATTGTACTTGTACCTCGAAGTCTGAATCGGTTGGAGACAGACTCCTTGTATAAGATGCCAGAAGTTCAAAGAGCAGAAAGGAGAAACGTCCACCTAATATAGAACAGATGACATGGTATGAGCTAGAACTGCTTCAGCCATAGACATTTCCTGTTGTGGATGAAAAAATAAATGTATGTTTCTGTGTTAGATATATATTAAAATATACATCTATAAAATATAAAATATAGATATAACTATAAAATACATATACATGTATAACATCTATATAGAAATAAATAGCATTTTAAGATATAGATATGTAGGTAGTTTGGTAGGTAGATAGATGAATAGATAGACAGATAGATAGATAGATAAACAAACATATAGTAATTCACCAAGACTGAGCATCTCTCCAGGCACACTTGGGATTTGGAGTCAGGTGAACTTCAGAATATTCTCTCTTGCACTTTTTGCCCAAGATTGTTTCAAAAAAACCAAAAAAAACATGGACAGGACAATGAAGACTGTGGAAATTTTTATGTTAAAAATGCATTCTAATAGAAAAGTCTTGACCAGTTCTGGAGGGCAATAAATGCACTTTGTAAGATCAACAGCATATTAAAATTTAAGTATGCCAGTAAGGCAGAAAGACTTTGACTACGTATTACAAACAAAAAAAATGTATAATTTTAACAGATCACATAGCAGGCATTGTAGAACCACCATGCATGTGACTCTTAACATTATAGGAATATTGCAATGTTATGTAACATGAGCCTTTCGATCTTTAAAAAGTAGAGGATATTCAGGGTGATGCTTCATGGGTTACTTTTTGAAGAAGCAGGTTAAAATATTTTCAGCTTGATTCATGCTCTGTATCAAGGTTTACAGGAGCTACATCCTTCAGCTTAACGTGGTATACACCCTTTCAAGGACCTGCTTCATTCCTGATATACTGTGCTATTTGTAAAGCAAGACAGATTTTCTGTCAGGTTAGTCCAGAGTTGAGCAGTCACTTGCATTCCCTCTTCATCTTCTTTGTACTTATTTGCCCATTTCAGCTGAATCTTTCATTTCACTTTCAGTGGGAGGGCATTTAAAAACCTTTAGTATTGTAGCTTATATTGGCTTCCTAGCTTCCTCTACACCTTTCAGGATGATTTCTCAATCCCTTTACCCTGCCTGCAGCTGCATGGACTCCAGCATTTACCTGTCTAGATGGAACATGGTGCATCGCTCCCCAACGTGACTGACTGTGTTGCAGTCCTGGTTCCTGCAACTAGTGTGGCTGTGGTACAGCTGTGGTGTTGGCCATCGCATCTCAGGGCCAGGCCAGCCTCTAACATCATTGTAGCTTTCTTCTCAGTACCACCCCTCTGTGCTTAATTGCCTTTTGGGGCAGTCTCAGCACACTGAATCTATTTTCTCACAGCCGTTAACCAAGGGACCGGCAACGGAAATTACGCACTATCACTGTTCCGTGTCTGATGTGTTGACCGGTGTTTCCCTGGATTGCAAGAGAAAAGATGAGTGTTTGATTTCCACCTGGAAGCCAGTTTGAAGAGTCTGGCTGATTCCTCAGCATTTTGCATTAAATACGTTTATACCGTCTTACCTCTTTTGAACAGGATTTGCTTAATGAGGAGCATCTGCCAGCTCTTGCGCCGTGCATTAGGTGGAAGGGGAGAGCTGAGCATGGCGCCAGAGGCCAGAAGGCCTGTTCCTGGCCCCGGCCCAGTGCTGCAGTGGCCTCCAGCAGTGCAGTACTGGGCTGTAGCTGCAGGAGCAGTGGACTTCTGCTCTCTCTATAGTTAGGCTTGGTCTCTTCTCTAGTTCTTCTGTCCCTTTCCTGTCAATGCACTGTGGATGGGCTTTTTATACATCTAATTTGGCTTCTTTGAGCAGTCAAAAGTGTGACCATGTTGGGTAAGACTGCTAGTGAGAGCATCATGGCAGTAGAAAGGGTCTTGGGAGCAGAGAGCTAAGAACTAGAGGCTTCCTTGTCCTAAATACTGCGGTGTTAAACTGATGCTTTCTGGTTTGTTAACATGCATCTGTTGCTTTAATGCAGGCACATATTTATTAAACCTTTGAGTAGATCTGTAAGCATAAAAGATGACTGTTTTACACAAAACAGGTTTATTTTCCTGGTTGCCAGATATTACCCACAAACAATTATCTGGTAGGTTTAAAGGGCACCAGGTAACATACATTTAGAAGAGTGGCCAGGCTTGAGATATGTTGCAGTTCACACTTGTAATAGTGGGGCCAGCAGCTGGGAAACAGTCATCTGTGCAGAACAGTAATAGGTCCACCGTGTCCAGTGCTAATTGAGAAGGAAAACCCAAAGTCATTAGGAACTTGATGCACTTGCTTTATGAGCTGTTAAAGTTCTCTTTTTCCCTTTCATTTGTCACATTAATTTATAAAATAAATTTCCCCAGTCACAGTGGAAATGGTGCTTTACTGACAACATATCCATCACTGCCTTTTTGGGCAATTTGGGAAGTTTGAAATAAGTCCATAGTCTGACATTTCACTAATTTGCTAGTGAAATTTGCAAGTCCCAAGTAAAAGGCATGGAAGGAAAGCATTCTAGCAAGCATTTCCAGATAGGTACTTCATGTGAAAAAGGAAAAAAAAAAAAGTGCTTTCTGTCTGTGGGTTACCTTCTCAACAACTTGGCAACATCACTGAGATTAAGTTATTTGACTTTTTCAGCTACTTTGGAATTGTGTTATTTGAGGTAGAAAAGCAACAATATGCGATGGCAAGGCAGAGCCTTCAGCCCTTTCAGCCAGTGGTTAAAATGCATTCTGTTCACTCTGTTTTTCCAGCTCACTGTCCATGTTAATTGTACTGTGTATCATTTTACCTCTTAAACATAAATGCACCAAGGTTTTATTTGACATACCATTTTTCTCACCAACTTTTTAGCTTAGTCAATGCAGATAACCACCTAACCATTTCTAGGTTCCTTCATTTTAACTATATTGACAAAAACATGAGTGGAAGATCTTATCAAAAGATGGGCTGTTATTCTAGGCTCAAATGTACCAACTTAACAAGACATCCTCTCACGTTTACGTCATATGTCCAGATGGTATTAAGAAAGATAGCTGTAAGTGATATATAATGCAGTATAGTAATAACTAGACAGATAAAAAATATAAATTGTAATCATTACAGTACTATTATAATTTATTAAAAATCTCACAGAGTTCATTTTCATGTAAAAGAGCACTTTGTCAGCATTACAGTGAAGATATATGTCAGAGAATTGAATGCTGTTTTTATATATTGAAGGATTCCTTTTTGCCCTCTTAAGACTGAAGTATTCTCCCTTTTTTATATATTCATCATCTGCACATGTAATTGGCAGGCACAGAGGCAATGCTGCACCTCTTACTGGGGTTTAATTTGGTAAAGTAAAAATAACCATGCCTCCTACTCAAATCTCACATTGTCCCTTTCCCTTGCCCCTCTTCAGGACGGCTGTGTCAGTACAGGAAGACATTTCTCCCTTCAGAGTTTCTTCCATCTGCTCTGTCCTCAGGTTATCTGCTTCAGTGGACTAGCAGAAACTCCTTGACACTTTTCTGGTAGACTCAATGCCACCAGGTGTTTCTTATAAGTGCTGCCAGTCTATAAAGCTGGGACCAGAGCACTGTGCTTTCTGCTGCTGCTGCTCAGAAGAACCGCTGGAAGATGCAGAACTGTAGGACACAAAAGTAATCTGTAACTGTTGGAGTTTCTGCTTACTCAGTTCTCTGTCACTTCCTCAATAATGTCAGGAATTTGATGATGTGATTGCACCTGGCTCAGGCACCTGTCTATATCCTTAGGCTGTGTGGATCCCGGAGGATGCACCTGTTTGTAGCAATTTAAATTACCTGGCAGAAGGCCTTACCTTGGCTGTACATTTGACATATCCCCTACGCAAATGTTTAAAAGAATAGAGGCATAAATTTGCTATTTAGTAATGACACATTGCTGGCTGTCAAAAGGAACATACAGGTTTTAGCCCTGTAGCACAGCATATCTTCTGTTCCTAAAATGCTACTCAAATGGCTTAACAGACAAAGGTGTGTTTTCCTGTGGTGTTTAACTGTGAGTCTAAACACATCAGGTTTTCCTTATGAAGCCTCTGATTAATTGCCTGGGTAATGCATCACATACATGTCCCGTGCTGCTGTTTACAGCAGGGAAAGTTACGATGGGATGCTTCTTCAATACAGCTTTGCTCTCTGGAGGATCACCTTTCTTTAGTGGGAACGTTTGTGAGTCCATGTTGGATCTAGTCTAGCAAATTTGTTCTTAACCGCCAGGCCATGAACCCAGTCAAGTTGCTGGCGAAACCAGAAGCTGTATATTTGTGCTTAGTACTTTTTGGAGATGACCAAAAAAAAATTAAAAAAAGGTGCAAAGTTGTGAGTGCACTCTATGTGAATTGAGTTAGACTTCAGTAATTCAGTCACTATGGAAATTTGCCCACATTGTCTATTCTTTAGATAATTTCTAGCAAATGAGACAAGTTATAACAATACCCATTATTTCATAATCTGTGCATTGCATCTCATAAAAATCTGCATGTTTGCATTATTTCATGGTTTTGCCAGTTAATTTGTGTTTTCTATCCATGTTCAATTTACATTCATTAACTCATAGTTTGCTGGTAAGTGTGTTCTTTCTATACATGTTCAAAGAATTTCTTTAATTCAATTTCTCTGTTTCTTCTCATACAGTCTCACAGCCAGATATGCAACTCAGTCTAATCACAGTGGAATTGCAACCAGTCAAAAAAAGGCTTCTAGGTCAGTTAAATATCTCTAATTTATTGCTTGTTAGCGATACTCAAGCAAGTATGTACCCACTGATAATTATCCTTTGGACGTAAGCAGACATTAAAAAAAAATGTGTATTTTTGTTATGCGTGCAAGCTTTGCAACGATGAGCTTTGCCACAGGAAAGCCCGGTATGAATTGAAGGGAGCTGATTTGTACTGTATATTAGCAATATTTCTGGTCGTTACGTATCTTGCATCTTTGTATTCTGCATGTAAAATATTGGATGTGAAGGATTAGTTGGTGATTTTAGTGCTCTCTACTCTCTGGTTCAAATCCTTACTTTAGTCATGAGTGAAAAGTTTGGAAGTCCATCTCGATTCCCACCGGATGTTTTGCACATATCACAAACCCACCTGAAAGGTTGAGTTCAGAAAGCCAAGCTCATGCAGAAGCAAAATAGAGCAGAAAAAACCACTTCCAAGACTTCTGCTCCATCAAGAGTAGCCTGCACACAGTCCCCGCTAACAAGATGCTTTGTTTTGGCAGAGAATTTGACAGAGCTGTGTGTAGGAGCTGTCCTGTTTCCGATTTCATCAGTACTTTTAGTTTATCATTTCTGTGAGCACTAAAATCTACAAGCCAGATTGCAGAAGACAGAAATTGAGGTCTAAAGCTTACTCTTGTTTCTAGCTTCTCTTTTCTTCTTGTGAGGGATAATTAATGTGTTCATTAATTATACCTTTGCTGTACAGTTCATTGGTGAGAACAATGAACTCTAAATTGCATAATCTACAGTAAAGATTGCATTTTGCAGTATACCGCACTAACACAATCTGATTTCCTGGTGATAGCGTGGAATGAGCTATACCACGGTCCAGTTGCTTTGCACCTGCATTTATAGGTCTTCAGTCTTCCTTATTGCTGATGTTCCTGTCTTGTCCACATTCAACATGTTGAGGTTAACAGTCTTATTGTCTAATACTTTAAATCTGTGGCAGTGTTTCCGAAGCCTGTTCAGAGGTATGTGACTTGTCCCTTATTTGTTATTCTCCTCTTTGCATTTCCTTAGCTGCTTAACATGATTCTGCAAGAGCAATTTAAAACCTGAATTCAATTTAAAAAGACAGCAAATGAGGTAAACTGGAAAGTGTGTAGAGCAAATGACCTCATGTATAATGTGCTTACTGTGGCAAGTTCTCAAATTCTGGCATGCAGAATATATGCAGAACTATTTTATATTTTTACAGAACAGAAGAGTTTCCAGTGTTGCACATGCCTTCTCATTGCTTTTTTCATTACCTTTGACAAACGATCTCAGGGCTCTTACTGCCTGTCAAATTAGGGTAATGAGAAGGAGCAAATGGATTTTTAAGTTTGTTTTAGTGCATTCTTCAGGGAACAGAAGATCACTCGAATTCATGGGTCACGGTAAAGGTTAGCATGCGTACAGCTGCAGAGCAGAGACAGTCTGCTCTGGGCTCAGCACAGAGACTAGCAGGGCAGGCTGGCAGCCAGAATGAGCCATTAAAATAACTAATGGATTAAGTCTCTGAGGCTTAAATTGGTGAAGGAAGAGAACATGGAGCTGTTTACGTATGTTCAATAATGAAAAGAAAATTATTTGAATATTTCTGTTCTACCAGCATATTAAATCAAAAAAAAATTTTGGAAGAAATCTGACGTAATTTCTTGTAACATGAGTTTTTTATCCGTTCTGATGCTGTTCTTTTGTAATATAGTCAAACTAATAGAATTCAATAACTCTGGTATAATTTATATTGCCACTGTTAAAATCATCCTATCGTTCTAATAAGTGAGAAACAATAAGAGAGACATTCTTCTCCTATGGCAAAAGCCTCTTGCTGATTTAAGCATTTCATCTATCAGATAACAAAACTGGAAAGGAGTGGAGGTGCCCACAAAGATGCTGCAGAAAGTTTGAAGTAAGCATGTGTTAAAGAATATTACAATTCAGAGAACAATTTCAAACAGAAAAAAGAAGCAGACTTACACTAGGCACAACAGAGTCCATTTTTTTGCCTTAGCATAGCCATACAGTACAGTTCAGATGGTGGCAGCAAATACTAACAAATGAACTGCGTATTCTACATTATACATTTCTGTCTAAAATGTATATATGCATCTGTAGCATCTAGCTAAAATATATATTTCCAGTATTTTTCATTGAAAATAATAAGGGGAAGAGATTTAGTCAAGAGCCCTCTGAAAAAAAACAACTAAAGCAGATAACTGAAAAGCCAACTTTTATGCTAAGCACAGCTGTCAAACGTTTACTAGAGTAAGAGACATTAAATATTTCTCAACTATGTATTGTTGTATTTTCTGATCCATTTCTGTAACATTTCCTCTTCAAAAGTGCCAGATTTAAATAAAAGTTGATATTGCATTTTAATGGCTTCTTAGGGTGAATCTGTTTTAGCAATGTTAATGGCAAATGCAAAGTATCTTCTTACATGTCTTGTGACTCTAGAAAGCGACTTTTTCCCTTTTGTGTGCGTGAGGATAAGTTTTTATTTTCATTTGTGGAGTCTAACTAATTTGAATCTTCTTGTTCATTGTTGCTTATCTGAAATCTTTGTTTTCAGTTGTTGGTTTTAAATTCTAGTGAGATATTTGCATACTGCCTCCTCTACATGTGGCATTATACAAAATGAACTGATTTTTGATTATACCATTCCAGGCTTCCAGGACCCTCAAGGGTGCCAGCTGCAGGCAGCAGTACCAAAGTCCAGGGAGCTTCTAATTTAAATCGGAGAAGCCAGAGTTTTAACAGCATTGACAAAAACAAGCCTCCACAATATGCAAATGGAAATGAAAAAGGTAAGTGATTAAAGTTACTAAGCTTATTCCACATAACATACAAGGGGAAAACAAAATCACCAAATGAACCCATCCACAAGGGTCAAATAAATGAATGTAATATTTAGATTTCGTAAGGAAGACCTATGGAGACAGAGCTCTGGATTAGGATTTGTGGTTGAGTTGGGATTAAAGTTCAGAACTGAAAACTTTCAGGATGTTACAATTATATTGCATCCTTCTTGATGGATATTAGCGATATCACTGGGTGATTCTTCTGAAATGAAAATAAATCCATATTGCATGTCTATAATCTTTGTCCACACTCAAGTCTACTCATACCCAGAGGTAAACTGCCATAATTTTCAGGGGACTTTGCATCTTAGCCTCTAATGAAGAAAAATCAGGATATTACATTTGCATCAGAATATTGTATGAGTATATTCCTTCAGAACCTTACCTAGTGTATATATGTCTGGATAGAGGATAGGAAATTAAGTCAAATGTAATGAAATTTTGCAGGCATTTGAATTCAGTGTTCATGTTTTATTGCTTTCTTTAAATATGAATATCCATTAGGGAAACAGACTGAGGTCCCTGGGTCCCTCCATTTCTCCACGCCTGACTCTGTTTTCCTGGAAAATGTGCCTCTTCAGGCTTTATCTCAGAAAGAATAATGTAGAAATACAGCTTTCTGAGTTGTGTAACTAGTCCAGCCCCTTCCCCCTCTTCTTTTCTCTTTGTTTAATGAACAGCATTTTATTCATATCTTTGGGTTAGGATACAGTTGAAAATGATACAATATACATAGTACCCGTTTGCATCCTTGGGGTCTGTGGGAGGAACAAGTATGCAGTGAATGTTCTTCATCCAAGCAACAGGCAGCTATCCAGATTTTTTTTACAAAATTCTGTTGAATACACTTTGCCCCTAGCTGTATCTGAAGATATAAAACCATCCTTTCAGTAGTTATTTCTTTATTTTTACTATCTGGGCTGAATATTTTAGATAGTTCTGTAGTGGGATTTATTTTATCAAGGACTTGTTTATGGCAAGACATCCAGGCTAAAACTAGAAAGAGATCAGAGTGAAAACTGAGCAGACACTATATAGTTCACAAATACAATAGTGAAGTTGTGAAGTAGGAGATGTGGCTGCTTGAGTAAAGGTATGTACACTAGTTTGGTTTTTAGAATTGCTTCGTAATGTTGACATAACTTTGCTGCTGAAATATGTGAAAGTGAAGTGATTCAAGGTGAGACATGCTTGTAGATATTAATATTCTTAGCTCATTACTTGGAAACTGCCTTTTGACTGCTGAGGTTTGCATTGCACTGCACATTTATGTGGCTTTTTGCAGGATGGATTTCTTTATTTTCCTATTTCTTTACAGCAGAGAATGAGAACTTTGATGAGATTTTTAGTGAAGTCATCACTCGCAAGAGGATAAGAGGTGTCTTTGTGTATATCATTCAATTCATTTTATAGGATATAGAAAATACAATGTTGCATAACTACAGAGTATATACTTGAGATGTTTCTGTCCTTTATTCTTTCTTTCAAAACAGCAGAATGGATGAAAGAAGATTGATTTTACATGAAACTGTAAACAAAACACAAATTTGTTCTGGAGTATAAAGCAGAATTTAATTAGAGAAAGTTACTTCTGTGACTACAAGAATCGTGAACTGATATTTTTTGTAATATCATAAAAGAACACATGAGAACCTGCATCTGAATTCACCGTGCAGCTTCTTTGCCTAAAAAAAACCCCTGAACTATGCTATATTTTAAATGTAATTGTTACAGTGGCTATTTTTTAATATTGCAATAAAATTTCAACGTAGTCATTTAATATTTTTTATCTATTTGAAGAGGCTTTGTGACCTGAGTTTCTCTGAAGAATTTGTTTAGAAAAAAACTTCAACCCTCACAATAGTAACAATAACACAAACACCTCTTTTAAAAAAGGTATCGCTATATGTTCCAACACTGATTTTTTTCATACAGAGTGGCACAGATAATAAATCTTGTAGTTAAATGTTGCTTCTGACACAGATGCTTGGAGCTTCCATTAAATGGATATACAGTCCATACACTCTAATTTCTGAGACACAGGTCATATAGTAAATAGTTTGTAATTCTGCATTAGTGCTGTATAAAACTGAAGCAGAGAAAGAGATGGTTTGTGCCAGGTAGTCATTAGAGATTGGAACCTCCAGGCCTCTTTGAGGGCATGCTATTTTGGTACATTTTTCTCTGCTGTACATCTTCCCGTATGTTCTATAAAGAGACCTCTGAAAAGATATGCAGCATAAGGATGGGGTTTTTTAATCCAGTTATATGTAATACTTGAAATCCATTCCTGCATAACACCGTTTCCAACTCGATCACAGTGGGGAATGGTTATGTAGTCACAGAGTTAAAGGAGACCTGAAGGTGATCCAAAATAAGATGTGATATGGGCCTTTCATTTAGTATTCTGTTATCTAGTATGTCATTAATGTTATCTCCTTTGAACGTTGCTTAGGCAGTAGTTCACACAGCAAGAAATGCAGCTGCCCTGAGAGAATGCAGCTTTGCTCTTCATGGAGTAGAGCCCAGGTTCTACCCACAATCCCAGCCCACTGCTGTGACACAGGTAACTGTGTCACCGTGGTTAAGTCAGGAATGCAGAATGCACCAAAACACTAAAAATGCCATTAGATGAAATTCATCTGTAGTTCTTCAGTGAGATGATTTTTTTCTTATTTTTTTCTGGACTTTGCAGCCGATGGACGGGTTTCAAAGAGCACATCTGTTTGCCGGGTCACATCACATCTTTCTGCTTCTGACTTAATAAAATAAAGACAAAAATAAAATTATTATAATGAAACTATTTGAACAAAGTAATTATTCATATTGCAAAGAAGGTGGATACCCAAGGTGTTTTGAGTCCACAAGGAGCTAATGTTCTAATTCAAGTCAAATATTAAAAACAAATATTTACCCTTTAGAGCTTAGAAACTCTGTACCTGAACACCAGTAAGGGTCTCTACATCATGGAGTTTAATTGCCAGCTTTTCAGTATAATTTAATAATATAACATAGTGTTTGTGCATTGTCCAAACTTGTTTTCGATAGTATTTAGTTACTTTGTCCATACTAACTCTGAGAAACTCTGTCCTGGAACTCCATTTGCTGATGATGCAAATCATCATTCATCTGTGATCATTACGTACACCCATAGCCGATTTGTTTACATGTCTTCCGGTGCCAGTATTTTGTCAGTTGCCCCTGGTAGGGTTCTCCTCCTGTGCTGATAAGACATAGCTACTCTCTCATGGACAGCTGGAAACAGATAGCTGAACAAACTAGATTCTTTCAGTCTCACCAGATAGACTTCCCATTCCTCTGAATGTAGCAATCTCTTGCAGGTCTTCCATTTTCTGCTAACTTTTTTCATTGTGAGTGACCACAGTTGTATGCTCTAATCTGGCCATCTGCCAGCTCCAGAATATTTAGATTATCAATACCAAAGTATGCTGCAACAGGGCAGCTGCTGTCACAGAGGTCCTGTCTTCTCCATGAAACAGGACACTGCAAAGATCACAGACGAGAAGACAGAGGAGACTGATTATATTTTGGGCCTGACACGTGTTTAACCCCTCATGTGTCCTTTAATTGTGCAACAGCCTATGAAATGTTGTCTTGAAAATGTCAGTTTGGTTGTCATGGTCTTGCTGAGTGTCGCTAGAAATTTCTCTTTTTGCACTGAAGCCCTGGGGGTGTTGCTTCTCTGCTTTCCCAGCGCAGGTTGGGCTGACCTCTGGAGCACTGAGCTCGCAAGCAGAATGCAAAATTGCTTTTCACAAGCTGATTAGAAACCAAATACAAGTTTGTCTTGGAGATTAGGCCCTAAAACTAAAGACTATCTTCTTGTAAAATTTCGTTTATAGAAATAAGAAATCCTTGTCATAGTTTGAGTTCACTCTGTATCAAAATCACCACGAGGTGGGGACAGATTTCACGTAATGAACAGCTGAAGCTAAGTCCAATTGAGCATGCAGAAAGCAATGAATGATGTGCAGCTTCAAGTAATGCATTTGGGCTTGGGGGGAAATAAATCTTTTTATTCCACCTCTTTAAGCATACAGAAAGGCTTTCAGTATTTCTTGAGAGTGTGCACTCCCCATTCCTTACAGAAACATTAAGAATACACTTTAAATTGAAGATTAAAGGCAAGTTAAAGTTCCTTGTAATTTTTTTGATGCTGTTTATGGTTAGTGACATAGGGATCAAATTCATACCAGTGGTTCCAGGAACCTGTGTTATTTTGCTATATATGTAGCAGAACAAGCTGTTGATGAAACAGTAAATACTCTTCTCTTTATAATTTCCCCCCTCAATGAGTTTAATATTGTATAGCAGGAAATATGGCAAGGCATACATTCTTCCATTCTTCTTTTTAATCGGAACACTTTTTTTTTTTTTCTGCAGTAAAACTAATAGCCTGAAGCCATACAAATGTTACAGAATTAATACAACAGAGCATAGTGGCATCCCGCTGTTCACAGATTGTTACATGTATTCTGCATTAGCTTTGCATATTCTTATGGTGAATTTTCTTGCAAAATTATTGCAATCGCTAAAGACCCCGATCCTCCTATGTGATTAAGGGAAGCTTAGTGCAAGGCAAGATGTGTGCACACCCAGGGCCTTGTGCACACCCAGTCCTGGGCTATCAGCCACAGGGGCTGATCCCTGGTATAAATTAAGGAAGCCTGAGGGCTGCAGTAATTTGCAACAGTTGTTGTTGGCCCCAGGCTCTCTTCCAGGGCTTGAGGCTCACCAGAAAATAGCAGGGGCCCAACCACAATTCTTGCCTTAGACACAAGGGAGGGATCGGCAGCTCTGCAGCTGCTCCATGTGCATGGGACTACCTGGAGCCTGGGCAATAATCTGTAACCTCACCTGTCCCAAAAAGTGATCTGAGGCAACCCTTACCAGTTAACATTTTCTTCCCTCATAACTGGATGCAG